GTATATTTTCCGAAAATTTATCGATAGACCGCGGATTTTCGGCATTTGTGACAATATCGGGTTGACGATATTTGAAACAATAATAAAATAACAAGTCACTGTTTTCAACTTGTTCATATATAATAAATATAATTCATATATATAATATTCATATGAATATATAATATTCATATATAATAAATATAAAAATAAATAACAAAGTAAATTACAAAATAAATAACAAAATAAATGACGAAATAAATTACAAGATTCACTCACTGTAATTACTTCAGCTCTAATATTCTACCCTCTAAACAGAATAGAACAAGACGTATTAAATTTTTGTATTGAAACATACACGAACTAAAAATATATAGAAGAACTTAGAATGAATTATAATTATATATGCATTTAATATCGAACGTATGCCCATGTGACAATTCCGTATTTGTTGAAGAAACCATCCTGTTCAAAGCATTAATGAATAAATAAATAGCAAAATTTATGTTTACTTAAATCTTTCCTCTCTATTAGCCATGTAGAACACAGAAACGATATTCCAATTACGAATTAAATATTCAACTAATGAAGAATTCATGAGATGATTAATATAAATAGCAGGATTCGAAACTTCCTCCATTTGAAGTTATAAATGTTTAACAGTTCCAACAACAACAAAAATTGTACAAAAGTATTTCTTTCAATCAACCTCTTGCTGAACTTTAAACAGTAAATCATGATAGAGATTTTTAATAATGAACAATGAAGTATGATTGTCTAATTTATTATATCTTCGTAATTCGATTAGGATCGACAAAACGTAAGAATGTTAAAAAAGTAATCGATATGACACGATTTGACTCTTCAATTTTAATTTGATTGAATAGAATATTTCAATTTTATGAAACTTTTTAGACTGTGCCCTTGTTTTCATCACTTTTTTAAATTAATTAAGTTATGAAACCGCCTGCAGGATTATTAGCAATATACTACGTTATTATTTAACTTTTTGTTACATAAATCTTATTAAATATTGTATACTGACATGGTTTCACGTTTAAGGATGCACAGGGTGTCCCAAAAATGTCTCGCAATCCGGAAATAAGGGGTTCCTGAGGTTATTTGAAGTAACTTTTTCCTTAGCGAAAATGCATTCTGCGGCTTTGTTTACGAGTTGTTAACGAAAAACAGTGACCAATGAGTAGCGAGCTCAGCTAGCGCGAGACTGCCGAGCCAATGAGAGGAACTAGGCTTCATGCGCTCGTTGGCTGGACCGCCACGCGCCAGCCGAGCTCGCCTCTTATTGGTCAGTGTTTTCCGTTAATAACTCGTAAACAAAGCCGCGTATTACATTTTCCCTAAGGAAAAAGTTGCTTCAAATGACGTCAAGAACCCCTCGTTTCCGAATTGCGAGACATTTTTGGGACATCCTGTATACCACGATTCTCGAGGAATTTGAAAATGATTAACAGTGATTGGTCTTCGCTGTTTAATTATTCGAGTAAATTGAGCACACAGCAAATATAAGCCCTCTCCTTCTCCCAACAAATTATTGCAATCGAGAAAGTTCTAATCACTGGAGCTATGAAAATAATGGAACGACGAGAGTTTAAAAGCGATTCCTTCGTGCCATAGAAGAAAGAACGGATAGAAAGATCGACGTATTCCCATGGGACTTCCAGAACTCATGAAACATGAATCACTTTCGAACCTTTCGAATATCGTCTCGCCTAATCTTCTGTCTCGCAGACAGTCGCCGCAGGCTCGCCTAAGTTAGGTAGCAGCCGGCGGATTAAAGTATGCAGATCCAGCCAATCGCGATGAAGGAATTTGATATCGCGTGAAAGATCGTGCCGAAGCAACGCGCAGAGAGTCACCTAATTGGAATTGATGGGTTCCACAAACGACGTGCATCCCGGAACTTTATCGATCTAAATAGTGTCGGCGGTACCGTTTCCAATTAGTTATTTCACCGAGTTTCTCGGCTTACCGCGATTCGTTCTACCAGCTAAACTGTTCGCAGAAAGCTCTGATTCCGACCGCTTAGTTACTGAAAACGCTCGAAACAGCAAGCGGCTAAACATGTCCGATAGCCAGCTGTGCCTAAGTAAATTGCCTTTTTCGCCCCCCATCGAAACCTAAGTTAAATCCTCTTTGCCGCGTGGACTCACGGATGTATCCTGTAAACGAATTCGTAAATTCGCTTCCAAAAAACGTGATTTCCAAACGAGTGTTTTGGAAATTTCGACGCGTGATCCCCGGACTTTTGATGAGAGCAAAGTTGGGCACTATTCCTATTGTTTCGAATAAATATTCGTCCAAGAATCATCCGAATGAATTTCTTCGAGTCGAATATTTATTCGAATAATAGTTCATTTCTCGTCATAAATTGTTCTATCCAATCATTCAAATAATTCGTCACGTAGAAAAGTTTTATTTTGTTTAAAGATTATGATCATATGATTAAGATCTTTGTATAATTTCATCGAATGCCATATTTACATGTGACGAGGAGATAGCATTTCGATGAGATAATTTAAAAATATAAAAATTAAATATTTCGAAATAACGTTTTAATTATTCTTGCATCCCATTCGTTGAAATATTTAAATCCATGTATTTAAATGATTGTTATGCTGCTTAATACGTTCATAACTGTTTAAAAAATTGCGGTCTGCTACATAGCACTCTCGTTAGATTCCACGTTGTATTATATTTAAACGTGAACTGAGGTAGCCCCGAAAAGTCCGTAAACTAAATGTGTCAGAGGTCTCGTGAAAAAAATGAGGATAACTGGCGTTGTGAAATAAAAAGCAGCTAAAGAATGTCCTGACACGAATATTAATGCACGAAGTAGAAAGTTTACGTACGAATTAAATTTACCGTTAACAAATATTTTTTAATTATCTTGATGTAGAGTTTTTATCTCCCGGACTTAGTTGTAATATATCGCTGATTGCAAAACATTGTTTGCACCGTATGGAGTTGCATTTGAAAGGAACATATTTTCGTATCAGCCGACGTGGCCGTAAAATTATGTATTTATGCGTATTGTGCGAACTCAAACATCCTCTGGAAAGTAATATGAAACGTTATCTCTGAAACGGTGTTACTCTGTTTCTATACCTGGAATACAGAAAATCGAGATTCTTTTCGATTTTGTCGAATTTTATAAGCAATCCAATGTTTGTAAATTTTTTATGCAAAAAGTTACACGTTTGGAAACCAATCGCTCGTACTCTTTCAAATACGTTTTTGAAGATATAAATTTTTATAGCATTTTTTACGCTAGATTGTATTCTGTAGCAATTAATTTTCCAACCTTCATTTTTTCATTCAGCAAAATTGTTTCTCTGCAAAAATATTATTTTCTGTGAACAAATCATCGGACTGAAAAATTCATACACAATTTTCTTCAATATCGGGTGCACAAATCACAGTAAAATTACAGTGTGAACAATTAAAGTTATAATTAAAGTAACTCGAACAAAAATGGAGTGTCCAAGAAAATGTTTGTTATGATCTGTGTCCATGGTATTGAAGAATTTGGATTTATCGAACCGATGATTTTTCCGCGACAGAATAACTTTTTTTAAATAAAAACATGAAAGTGGAAAAATCAATTTCTACATAATTCCAGATCCGGCGTACGAATGCTATAAAAATAAATTAACGAAAATAACAAATTCTGAAGTTCTCAACGCCTTGGCACCGTACGGAATCCTTTAGTTTTGAAAGAGAAGAGTCGAATGCTAAAAAAAAAACGCGAAAATAACTTGAACGACGGATCAGAGAAGTAACTCCGGATATAAACTTCCAGATTTCACTCGACGGAATTTTTGCGCGGCCGTTATTGATGCATAAAAACTCGCGTTAGATCGATTCCCGATTCGCTGCCTTTTTGATGTAATCTATTTCCTGCAACTTTAAGCACGTCGCAAACGAGACACTTTATTTCTCGACGATACGTTACAGAGGAAAAGGAGGAACGGTGTAATAAATGCGCTCGATCCTATGTTATCAGTGGTTAGCAGATTTTTATACGTTTGTTCGGGCTCTGGACCTGCGATCTACGATTCGCAGAGGTCTTCAGTGTAAAATTTAATCCGGCTATAAATTTATTTTAAACTTCATAAAACCTTATTGAAACGAAGTTATTTCTCTTCGAGTTATAATACCTATAAATTAGTGTACGAAAGAGATTTTCCATGCTCCAATGCATTATTTTTTACGTTCTTGCGGAAATTCACGGAGGTTTTATCATCGAACCAGCCACGGCTCTCTCGACGTGTAATATTTTCGTAAAAAATTCGGGCTACAATTTGATCGACGATATGGTGTAATTATCTGATACCGAGTTTGAATGGTAAAGAATTACTTCTTTATTCCGCAAACTATGATTTTCGTACATACACAAATGGTGTAAGTCGAAAAGGTTAATTCGTGGATAATGGAGGACGAATTTAAGGTTCTGCAAAATGTAATAACATAAAAAATTCTTACGACTCTTTTATATAAGCCACTTTCAAGCTTTAACTTAAGGTAGTAAAAAGAAATTTGAAGCAAATATTAAGCTAGATGTGATTAAATAATATTAAATTAATCTAGCGAAAAATTGATCTTACAACACTTTTACTTTAAGCGACTCATACATTTAATGTATGTTTGTATTTATAGTGTGCAAGCATCAAAATTCTATTTGATTCGTAACTTCGATACTAAAGAATTGCATGCATATATGTGATAAGGCAGAATTATTAAATATTATTAAAGTTCTATCATATTACTAAACATTTTCGTGTTTGTTTACTTTCAAAATATGAAAAATAGATTCTGAAGAATTTACTTCCAGAATAGAAGGAAAGGAAACGAAATTTACTAAAAACTTGCCTACTTGAAATTCGAGCATTCTCTCTTCTTTGTTATAAACAAGAAAACTTTGTAAACAGTTCAAAATTGCGATTTTTGTACGTGACGTGAACGTGCTCTACGATTTGTGAAAACTCGCATGATCGACTTACTTGCCATTTCATGGGATTCGTGTTAATCTGGCACATATAGACGCCTTCGTCCTCCTGTTGCACACCCTTTATGTGGAGATTCCACATCGTATGATCACTATGGGACACTGAGATCCTCTTGTTATGAGTTATTACGTGCTCGTGGATCGCCTGGATTGCCTTAGTGTCCGCTTTCACCCAGCCGACCTGTCAAGGACATACCCGTTAGAAAAATTGCACCACGATCAGATAAATTCGTCTTGAAGCTCGCAACAATAACCAGCAAAGCAGACGAGCAATGTGAAAACAAAGTGGATTGTGGTATTTCATTCCAACGAAATAACAGCGAGGAAATGGGTCCCGGAATCATAATTTTGTCGCAAGAACATTTCCATATCAGCCTTTTACTATTTTGTAAAGAGGGTTCCCTCCGCTTTTTGAATTTATTCAATCGTATTTCACTTGCTGAGCCCCGAAACGGCTAGAAAAATGCTTGCAGCGAACGAAACATTTGTTTAATCACGGTGTTCCATTCATGCGACGCTGTTTTATTTGTGTATCTTCCTGCGCAATAATGTTACGATTTATTGGCAAGTAAACAATACTCTGGTAACATCTAATTACTATAAAATATTCACAAAATATTGGTAATTCATTGATATGTTTCTGTAACAAAGATAAAGTTCAAATGTGCAGAAAAGTTACAATCAAAGTTAAAAATTATTGAAATATAAATTATTATAATTTAACATTTTTTTTAAAATTTTGTAACAAAAATTGTAATAACAGTAAAGAAACACGGACACATAGTAAATTCATTACAACGATGATGCTGTGGAACTTTAATCAGTAAATTTAAATAATAAAACTATTATACTCTATTACAATTTCGCCTCGTACACACAGTATAACGACGCTTAACCCTTTACAAGTCAGACGTAAATCCAATAAAATTGTTTATTTTCTCTTTCCTCTCTTCTCATATAATAATTCTTCTATTTAAGAATTAATTGAATTACATTTCCCAAAAATCAAGCATATTATGAACAATATTAAC